AAGAGCACCGTAAATTTGGAGCATGGGCTCCCCCCGGCTCTGGAATTAACAAACTTACAAGTAACCCAAATCCAGCAACACCCGGTGCATTTCATTTACCGCTGCCTTGTCGCTTTTCGGAAAAACCAAAAAGAAAAAAAAACACCACCCCAAAAAAGCATTCATCTCTAAACGTAAACCATGACGCAAATATCTACCATAAGCTTCTCCCTTATTCCCAGTTTGGTGCAGAGAGCCTTTTCCCGCTTCCCTTCCTCCTCCAGCCAGCCTCTGTTGCTAAACAGCCTGCAGCCCCTCCAGCCCAGCTTTCCTCTTTGCCTGCAGATCATCCGGATGGCACAGCCTGATTCCAGAGAGAGCCCGTGGGCTGTGCTCGTGGAGACCCTAGCTGTAGGCTTGCCACAATCCTATTTATTCAGACTCCACAGAAGCTTTCCTCCTATCCATTCGTTTCAGATCGTAACTTTAAATCTTGATTTCTAAATGAGATTTATTTCCAATATCTCAATGTGAGCCCGTTGGTTTGACTTTAAGCCGATGCTCACCACCACCACTCCGTTCTTGGCAACGAATAAATGTTAAAGCAGCAGTAGCAATGATAGTTCAAGCTGCAAAGAGTTAAATGGGTACTACTAATTTATTGGATCAACACAACTTGGGATTCAATGCACATTTTTCAGCACCAGCATTTAGCACAAGCATTACTGTCCTTGCACTTGCTTGCGAGCAGATCCATGCAATGGAGACTTCTAATTTTGCTTCCCACCAAGGCTGCTTGGGAGGGAGTCACTTAGAGGTGGGTTCAACAGCAGACAAGGGCCTTATCCCAGTTCACCCTTGCACAAGTGAACTGTGAATTATAGGTATTGTTGGTCGCACGTCAGCCAGATGTGGAGGCTGGATTTGGCATTTTTATCCCCCTATGGAGTCCTTCCCAAGGACCTGGGATAGGCAGATGTTGTTCTTGGATGGCGTAAAAGGGATCATCGCAGGATGTGAGCTGTTCCCAGTAAAGCTGCCCTTTGCAATTGACTGATGGTGATTTCGTCAATGCCGATGGCCTTCAAGTGGTGCTTCAGATCTTTTGGGATTGTATTATTATTATTAT